TTCAGAAATTAGTGAAGAAATACTGTAAAAATAAGAGTATCAGGATGCTTCCATCATAGAATTTATTTCGAGATATTGGACAAAATGAGAGCTTCAAGATCCAGAATTTGGAAAAATTTAATAAATTTATAAATTTTGAGAATTTTAAGAAAATGTTATGATCCTGGATTAAGGAAAATATTCAAGACATGGACATGGACATGTATAAATTCCCAAGAGTCTGGAACACGTCTAAATAGTTGGAACCAATATCAAAGTGTTTAAAATCTTAAAAAAGTGGTATAATGAAGCTCATCAACATTTATTTAAGTTTGGGCTAATGACCATTCGGCATAATGACCGGACACTCCAATAGTGGCAATAGTGCCACATCCAGAAATGATCAGAACCTTTGTTATCTCGATAAATTAAATTTCAAGCACTGGCAGCCCTATTGCGTGTTTTGTGTATATTGGCATATTTAATAAGACCCCCTTCCAGGATGACCTACAAGAAACTGTCTGATTTTGGGTGGGGGGGGTGGTCACATGACTAAACTCAGCAACACAAAGGCTTTCGGTAAAATGGTATTCGGCAAAATTTTCCATAGTAATTTTTTTTTGCCCCTCCCTAGTTTGAAACCTGGCTACGCCCTTGATGTCAACCCTGCCTGCAGTTTCAAATATCTGTGCTTAAGGTTAAAGTTAACGCTTTTCCGTTGATACTGACTCCACACCCGTTCGAACCACACACAAATTCAAAATTCACCAATAACAACAAGCATTGAAAATTAGCAAAATGGGAAGTATTGAAATATTGACCATATTCGTAAATACAATATTATTGTATAATTATAATAATTCTACTACTGAAATGACAAATTCCATTCCATGATTCCAAGTTCAGGGAGACCTGCCGAAGGACAGGAAAGTCCTACTGAAGTTCAGGGTTCAGGAAGGTCCTGTCGTAGTTCAGGGAAGTCCAGCCGAACTTCAGGGAAGTCCTGAAGAACTTCAGTCGAGCCGAAGTTCAGGAAAATCCTGCCGTAGTTCAGGGAAGGCGTGCCGAAGCTCAGGGAAGTCCTGCTGAAGTTCAGGGAAGTCCTGCCGTAGTTCAGAGGAATTCTGCTGCAGTTCAGGGAAGTCTTGCCGTAGTTCAGATAAGGCTTGCCGAAGTTCAGGAAGTCCTGCCGTAGTTCAGGGAAGTTTTTCCGAAGTTCAGGGAAGTCTTACCGTAGTTCAGAGAAGGCCTGCTGAAGTTCAGGGAAGTCCTGCCGTAGTTCAGAGAAATTCTGCTGAAGTTCAGGAAAGTCCTGCCGTAGATCAGATAAGGCTTGCCGAAGTTCAAGGAAGTCCTGCCGTAGTTCAGAGAAATTCTGCTGAAGTTCAGAGAAGGCCTGCCGTAGATCAGATAAGGCTTGCTGAAGTTCAAGGAAGTCCTGCCGTAGTTCACAGAAGGCCTACCGAAGTTCAAGGAAGTCCTACTGAAGTTCAGAGAACTCCTGCAGAAGTTCAGAAACTCCTGCTGAAGTTTAGAGAAATTCTGCCGAAGTTCAGGGATATTCTGCTGAAGTTCAGGGAAGTTTTGCCGAACTTCAGGGAAATCCTTCCAATGTTCAGGGAAGGCCTGTCGAACTTCGGGAAGGTCCTGCTGAAGTTTAGAGAACTCCTGCCGAAATTCAGGGAAGGCCTTCTGAACCTCAAGGAAGTCCTGACGAAGTTCAGGGAAGGTCTGCCGAAAGTTCTGCCGAATTTCAAGGCAGTCCTGCCAAAGCTCAGGGAAGTCTTACCGATTTTCAGAAAAATCCTTCCGAAGTTCAGAGAAGACCTGCCGAAATTCAGGGAACTATTGCCGTAGTTCAGAAAAGGCCTGCCAAAGTTCAGGAAAGTCCTACCATTTCAATTCTTGGAAATCATGGAAGTCCTGCTGAAGTTCAGAGAAGTTTTGCCGAACTTCAGGGAAGTCCTACTAATGTTCAAGAAAGGCCTGTCGAACTTCGGGAAAGTGCTACCGAAGTACACACACTTATTTTTTTCCCCGAGATTCCAACAGCCGAGCAGTTCTGCATTTTATTTTGCTGAGATTCAGTAAAACAATTGCCGAGACTCAGCTAACAAATAACATTTTGCTGAGATATCAGATAACAAACAGATATTTTGCAGAGATATCAGCAAAAGTGAATGCCGAGGTAATCGGTTGTTGGAGATTTTACCGAGCAAAATTAAGTGTGCAGGGAAGTCTTACCGATTTTCAGGAAAGTCTTTCCGAAGTTCAGAAAAGTTCTACCGAAGTTCAGGGAACTACTGCCGTAGTTCAGGAAAGGCCTGCTGAAGTTCAGGGAAGTTATCCCGAGGATCAGGGAAGTTTTGCCGAACTTCAGGGAAGTCCTACTAAGGTTCAAGGAAGACCTGTCGAACTTGGGGGAAGTGCTACCGAATTTCAGGGAAGTCCTGCCGAAGTTCAGGGAAGTCCTGCCGAAGTTCAGAGAAGATCTGCCGAAGCTCATGGAAGTTCTTCCGAAGTTCAGAGAAGTTTTGCCGAAGCTCATGGAAGTTCTTCCGAAGTTCAGAGAAGTCTTACTGATTTTCAGGAAAATCCTTCCAAAGTTCAGAGATGACCTGCCGAAATTCAGGGAACTATTGCTGTAGTTCAGGAAAGGCCTGCCAAAGTTCAGGAAAGTCCTACCATTTCAATTCTTGAAAATCATGGAAGTCCTGCCGAAGTTCAAAGAAGTTCTGCCGAAGCTCATGGAAGTTCTGCCGAAGCTCATGGAAGTTCTTCCGAAGTTCAGAGAAGTTTTGCCGAACTTCAGGGAAGTCCTACTAATGTTCAAGGAAGACCTGTCGAACTTGAGGAAAGTGCTACCTAAGTACATGGAAGTCTTGCCAATTTTAAGGAAAGTCTTTTCGAAGTTCAGAAAAGTCCTACCGAAGTTCAGGGATCTATTGCCATAGTTCAGGAAAGGCCTGCTGAAGTTCAGAGAAGTCCTGCTGAAGTTCAGAGAAGACCTGCCGAAGTTCAGGGAAGTTATGTCGAGGATCAGGGAAGTTTTGCTGAACTTCAGAGAAGTCCTACTAAGGTTCAAGGAAGGCCTGTCGAAAATGCTACCGAAGTTCAGGGAAATCCTGCCGTAGTTCAGGGAAGTCCTACAATTTCAATTCTTGAAAATCATGGAAGTCCTGCTGAAGTTCAGGGAAGTCCTGGCGAATTTCAAAGAAGTTCTGCCGAAGCTCATGGAAGTTCTTCCGAAGTTTTGCCGAACTTCAGGGAAGTCCTACTAATGTTCAAGGAAGGCCTGTCGAACTTCGGGAAAGTGCTACCGAAGTTCAGGGAAGTCTTTCGGAAGTTCAGAGAAGTTCTGCCGAAGTTCAGGGTAGTCCTGCCGAAGTTCAGGGAAATCCTCCCAAAGTTCAGAGAAGTTCTGCCGAAGTTCAGGGAAGTCCTGCCGAAGTTCAGAGAAGTTTTGCCGATCTTCAAAGAAGCACAACTTAAATTCAATACATTCGGTTTGTCCAGTTGTTTATGAACACTACCGATCATAAGTTTAAGGCTACCCCCAAAAAACCATGCAAATAAATATGTTTTGTTCAATGATCTCTAATTTTACGTTCAATTTTCGATCTCCAAAGGTTATTTGAATGGTATGAATGGTATAGCATAAGTGTTCTACTACTACTTTTATTTCAAAATTTGGTCAACCCAATTCTGAGAACATCAGTCACGATTCTTCAGAGTAAATTTTGAAAAATATTGTAACTTTGGGTAAAATTTTAGCCCACAAAATTTGAAAATTATATTGAAGAATTTGCCTACGAAAAAAGTTCCATTGAATACTTTTCAAATGATCTAAAGAGAATGAAAATTGGACGTAACAGGACAGAGATATGAACATAACAAATTTGTCATGTTTTTTGGGGGTGTCCTTAAACTTATGATAGGGAGTGTATATTGTTTAGAACTGTTTTTTAATCGTGAACTTGATGCGTCTAAAAAAATGGACTAGTTATCAGTATTTTAAAGTCATTAATTTCATACGTTTATTCAAATGACTTTTCTACGATTGCCATCTCAGTTCAAATAAAAACACCAGTATTCTTTTTCCGCATAACCATACCAAAATATCCAATACATATATGTGGTTAACTAGAATGTCGTTCACATGCATTCGAAAACATCACTGTACTGTTCTAAATATTTCAGTGAAACATTACAGTTAAGTCAGTTAAAACCTCATTTGCAACTTGTGTCATCCAAATATCATGTTACATTCAACTGAATTGCAACACCTTTTACAACAAACATAAGTTGCAAAGAGATTCCACCTTCTGCGCATTTTAAGGTACAATGAAGTTTTATATGCGATGCGTTGTCCATAATTTAGACCTTCATTTAGTCACACTAAGGTAGTTGCTACTTGCTGTGGAACAAATGGTGTTGCTTGGGACACTAGCGAATTCCCAAAGTATTTCTGGATTCAAAAAGTTAATCTTGAAAATTACAGAAAATTCAGAGAATCTCTCTAAGGTATAGATTATAAATAATCTCAAGAAAGATTCCGAATAATCCCAACAGAAATTTCAGATAATCCCAATAGAATGGAAACCGTAATGAGATGCTCTAATAGTGTGATTTGACCATATGAATAAAAGAGTTTACTTTACTCGCTCCGTAAGAAAAGCAGGGGAAAGCAGAGTAAACTTGTTTTATTCATACGGCTTATTGTTTGCAGAATTGATCATCTTGCGTAGAAAGTAGGATTTAAATAAAGAAATGACCTTTCCTATTAAGCAGCACGATTTCAATACTATCCACACATCAAAATTAGAGAGAAAAAATGTATGACGTTGCAGTATTAGTTTTACATAATTTATGATATTCTCGATAAATTTAAAACATCTTCACACAATGAGAAATATCGTCGAAAAGTAAAAGTCTTCAAATCTGGCATCTCTGATCGGGACACATCAAACATCAAACAAGCTACGGCTACTCAAAAATTGAAAATTTGTCAAAATACTTACAGATCGCACATCATATGATACTCCGACGGTGGAATGAGCGTTGAGAAGATCGCTATGGGAGCAGCCGTAATCAACGCTATGAACCACACAATTCCAATTAACACCTTGGAACACCTGTTGAAAAAAAAAAGAATGCCTCACTCCACTACCAATGCTTCGCCAAAAGATCAAATCTTACGTCTTCGTGATCCTCGGCTTCAGGGGCCACATGATAGCAATGTAACGATCGCCACTGATCGCCACCAGCGTGTACGCACTAACCAGCACCGAAACCGCCTGGGTGTAGTTCACCAACCGGCACATGCCCAATCCGAATGGCCAGTACTGCAGAACCAAGGACGAGATGAACGTAAACGGCACGCAGAACAACGTCATCGTCAGATCGCCCACGGCCAGGTTGGTGATGAAGTAGTTGGTCACGGTTCGCATCCGCGGGTTGGACTGCACGATGAACAGCACTATCGAGTTGCCGATCACGGCCGTCACGAAGATCAGCACGTACAGGAAGTAGCTGGTGATTTCAAAATACACTCCGCCCCAGTAGCCCCCGTTGGTGCACTCCCCGATTGGATCGCCGTAGAACGTGAAATTTGAGCCATTCCGTAGTCGTTCACTCAACTGGTCGATGTATTTTTGCTCCTCCGTCGAGGACACGTACGGATAGCTTGGTGCGTAGATTTCGTACGTTTCGTTCAGCATCAAGCCGGGACCGATGAACGGCGGCGAGGGGGAACTGTCGTTTGCCGCCCCCGCGAGTGTGGATTCATTTCGCCAGGATTTGTTGAAATAGTCCGAATACTGGATCGAGTAGAGCAGGCTCATGGTGACGTGGTGCGGTAAGGGATAATACCTATGTGATAAAGTTTTTCACCTCGTTAAGGAAGGCACGTATCGTTTGCCATCCAGGGAGCTGGTTACTGGCGGTGGTGGGTGCACCGTTGATAATTATGCACGCTTGCACACTGCACACCTGAAAGCAAAGAGGAAACAGAATGGGAAGTGTTACCGAATGCAATGGAGGATTACGTTTTGTACCAGGAAAGAAATGATTTGAATCAAGAATGCAGTTGTTACGATTGGCAGCAGCGTTTGCCCGTTAATCCTAAATGTGCCGAGTGAGAACTCAGGAATTTGATTTATTCGATGATAAGGCTTTCACTTTCGCTGCCAATCCGGATCATCCCCTTCACTGAGCTGTTGTCTGTTTGACAGCCATTGGATTCTCATGAAGCCCATCCAATTTTAGAAATTAATTTCCATCAGTAATTTAAAGCCGCTAGTTCAAAGGAACATCAAAGTCACATTCCACGTCGAGCTGTGTTGCTCGCTTGAATGTAGTTATTTAATTTAAAACAATCCACGCAGAATTTGCAGAACAGGCGCTGTTTCTCTGTGGTACAGCTTTCATTTAAAATTTATTACTGCAATGAAAGCAACATTTTTTCACTGTCAACTTACCCCGGCCAATCCCAGATCCATAAATCTGCGAGCATCCGTACGGCTCATTCAAAGCAGAATAATACCCGCAAAGACAAATTGAAATGAAAAAGCACTTTGTGCTTACCATCGAGCACCAATTAAACCCCATCCAATTGACATCGGAGCCCCCGGAAAGCCATATGCCTGTCTCGGAAAATGCCTGCCAGGGCAGAAGATAGTACCACTCCATAATAAGATAAGAGAAAATTGCACACAAACTGCCGAGCAACTTCCCGTCTATGAATATATGTGTGTGTGTGTATGTTTGTGTTCCAGTGCACAAGTGTCCATAAAATAAAACTTTCCATCCAGGCCAATAAAGGCTTCTCAAGTGTTGTTATAACTCTTCCTGCGGCGGAAAATTTCAAAATCCGAATCTTCTCCACTTCGGGTTCGAAGTGTTCTCGATCTTCGCCCTCTGTTTCGTCTCCGAAGAACGCTCAGAGTTTTTTACGATGTAAATATTATCTCGCTTTACGGTTATTATTTGTTATTGCAATATAAACATTCGCCCATGGTCCATGGCAGCGTAGTGCCAGAGGCGTATTCCCTGCTCGGTGATGGTACTCCTGGAATAGATTGCCGAACAAATCTTTCATTTTCTGGTCATTAAACGATTGGCTACAATGTTTCAGTGTTTCTCCGATTAAAGGGTGTCCCACATCAAATTGAATCACGTAAAAACGCTGTAGAAAATTACCTAGTTGACCGATCCTTTTCAAACTTTCCGACAATCAAATATAACCCATTAGTAAGCTATTGGCATATTTATTTCATTCAACTTCAATACCATAACCGTACTAACTCCACTCATTAGGTTTTGTCCAACATCTGGCTGCAGCTTCTTCTGGACGGAAACGCACTTTTTCTTCATGTCTTCCTCAGGTTTGACCTCCTTGGGATGCATCCGTAGTGCCTGATTCATAATTGTGGAGATCGACAAAGCTCACTATCCTCACCTATTAAGTGTAGTGTAGAGACCTTGATTTGAGTGCTCCCCTTCTGTGTGCACTATCTTGACCAAGCTGTATCGTTGTTGAAAAAGCTCTGTTCTGTGAACCTTCGGGAAGGCGGTGACATAGAGAAACACCTTTTCGATATGGATCAGCTGTTTGATCGTTTGGACGCAGTGGATACGAAGTTGGATAAGTACGTCAAAATTGCTGCTCCGGAGCCTTCCCCGTCATATGATAGTTTAGTTTTGGCTCTCGACAGTCGGTCCGACGATGACCTTTCGCTGGATGCTGTTAAGTCGAAGATAGCGGAAAGGGAGAGAGAGCGATGCGATCTAGTGAGATGAAACGTGGTAAGGAAACCAGAACTTGCCACTACTGTAGAAAACCCGGACACTCTTGGAGGTTAAACAGAAGTACAAGCTGCTTGGTTGGTGGTCTAACAGTAACTAACATTTATTTTCTGAGAGAATACAAATTAATAATAGCATGGCTTGCTTCAATGTCGTGCTTGCTTCTACTTCAACACTCCTTCTCAAGGACGATGTTCTGCAAGCCAATCTCCTCCCGCATCTTCTACAGCTTAATTCGGCCTAGTGGTTTTGTCAGCGCATCCGCTAACATCTCCTCTGATGGACAATACACGATGTTGAGGACTCCTGATCCGTACAAATCCCGGACAAAGTTATACCTGGAATCGATGTGCTCGTCACTCCTTTGGCACTCAGCATACTGATAAAACTTTGGTTGTCTTCGTAGACGGTCACGGGTTGCTGAATATCCTCGCCTAGTCCTCGCATTAACTTGAGCAGCCAGAGAAGCTCTTTGGAGGCCTCCGCAAGTGCGACATATTCCGCTTCGGTTGAAGACAACGGAACCCACTCCTGCTTGCGAGCTGTCCAGCTAATTACTCCTCCGCCAAGCTTGAACAGAAATCCAGAATTGGACTTTCTATCCGTACGGTCGCCCGCCCAGTCAGCGTCAGCGTATCCTTCAAGATTGCCTCTTCCTCCCAGTCGCAGCTTAGTACCCTTCAAATACCGCAGGGCTCGTTTCGCTTCCGTCCAGTCACGTTCCGTTGGTTTGCTGACTTTGCGCCCAAGGATGGACGCCATGATCTCTAAATCGGGTCGTGTGCAAACAGCAACGTAGAGCAAAGCTCCCACAAGGCTCTGGTATTTGTCGATCGTCAACATTTCCTCCTCCTTTGGCTCTATGGTGATGAACCCGACACATTAGGAAACTTCCATCAGCATCACGTTCAACACGAATCCCAAGGTAGTTTCTTACATCACCCAGACACGAAATCTTGAATTTCTGCTCCAGGTGCTTCCGTACTCGTTCGTACTCCTTGAAGCCGTCGGTGACGATCAACATATCATCCACATACAGTAGGATGAAGGACAACTCACGACCGGTCTTTATGAATAGACAGCTATTAGCTTCCGTTGCTTCGTACCCCAGCTTCTTCAGAACGTCGGTAATGGTCTTGTTCCAAGCCCTTCCTGCTTGCTTCAGGTCGTACAAGCTCCTCCTCAAATGGCATACCCTGGTGGCTGACACATGTAAATTGTCTCCGGAATTTCTCCATACAGATACGCCGTCTTGATGTCGACATGCTTCACCTGCATCTTTCGGCGTGCTGCTACCGACAGGAGCGCCCGGAACGTGGCGTATTTTGCAACCGGCGCGTAGACCTCGTCGTAGTCAGTACCAAATTTTTGGCTGTACCCTTGAGCGACAAGCCGGGCCTTGTATCTTGCTACATTCCCGTCCTCATCCAGCTTCTTCTTGAAAATCCACCGGCAGCCTACTGGTTTCCGATTGGTGGGAAGGCTGACGATATCCCATGTGAAGTTTTCCTGCAGCGACGTATACTCCTCGTCCATCGCTTTCTTCCAGTGTTCACGCTCTGCACCCGACAGTGCTTCTGCTAGCGTCGTCGGCTCGAACGATTGCTGACTCATCAGCTTGCTTGTTTCAGTGAATCGGTTCGGCGGTACCCCTTTGGTTGACCGACTTGAGGCACGTTTCGGGATACACGTGGACAATGGATCTCTCGGTGCGTTCAGGGGACGTTCATCGGCATTGTGCTGCTCGGTGAGCGTCGCGTCCTCGTATGATTCGTTGGATGTACCGTATTGATCCTCTTCCGCTTCGGATTCCGACGCAAGTTCTTCCTCATCGTCAGTTGGCTCACCGAGAACTTCCCCTGCAACGATAGGAAAATTATTAGTTTTTGAATTGTCGGTCAACGGGAAGTCAATGTTACTTCCATTGTCATCTTCTTCGTCCTGTAAGCTGCATGTCGGCAAAAATCGAGTATCTCTGCTATTGATAATGTGTCCAGTGCTTCTGTCCAGGAATCGGTACGCTTTTTGTTGCACCGAATAACCAACGAAAGTCATCTTCTGCGCTGCTGCATCCAACTTCGTCCGGTTTTGCTTCGGGATCCACACCAAAAACTTGAAGGTGACCCAGGTCCGGTTTTTCTCCCCACCATGCTTCGTAAGGTGTGGTCTTCAATGACCTGGTCGGAAGTTGATTTTGAAGATAGTTCGATGTGTTCATAGCCTCCGCCCAGTACCTCGTCGGAAGCTTTGCATCCAGCAGCATACACCGCGCCATTTCGTTCAAAGAGCAGTTCTTGCGTTCTGCTGTCCCGTTCTGTTGCGGGGTGTGTGGAGTAGTGAACTGCTGCCTGATTCCTTCTTTCTTGAAAAAAAAACCTCTCCAGTGACCTGTTCTTGACCACCATTGTCGGAACGCACAATCTTCGGTGGTCGGCCAAACATCGTCTTCACTTCCATCACAAAATCTCTCAGCTTCTCCTCAGCATCCGATTTCTCCCGCAGGAAAAACACATTTGTGTAGCGAGAATAATCGTCGGTGACGGTGAGATAGTACCGACATCGTCCTGGTGTGACATTCTTCATCGGATCACACACGTCCACGTGGATGAGGTCCAAAGGCTCTTTCGATCGTTTCTTAGACTTCTTCGGAAGCGGAAGTCTCGCCAATTTTCCTTTTTGGCAGCGCTCGCAAACAGACCGTATCCCACATTCTTCGATTTTCATTCCGGTTACTAGCTCCTTTTCCACCAGCTCCTGGACAGCATCGTTATCTCGGTGACCCATCTTCCTGTGCCACACGTGTTGGCAGTTTTGCGTGTGCGATTTCACCCCGTACAAACCACTGGACACAGTTTCCATTACTGCAACTTGCGCTCCTTTCATGATTCTGCAGTTTTCGGTGTCAAAAATCACCTTTCCGCCTTTCGCTACCAGCTTGCGCACCGAGATCAGATTCGTCTCTAGATTCGGTACAAACAGGGTATCTGAAAGCGTAATTGTTCGATTGTTACCTTCCAGATCACAGCAGTCCACTTCGCGCGTTCCTTTGCCCTTCGCAGCTGTCATCGTCCCGTCGGCTAACGTGACGTTTTCCTTTACTGCTTCATCCAGCTCAAGGAAGGAT